ATAGTTGGTATGTTATGCAAGTTTCTGTTCTCCTCCTCAATCCAGCCTGCATCAGCATTGTGTGTAACAGCATTGGACCAAAGAGAAGACCAATAAGTTGTGAGTTCTTTCTCTGTTGGTGTGCCACTGTGCTGTGTATCAGAATTTGTTTTGGTACTGATTTGTCTGTAGAAATGTTTTTTATTGTTTGTGAATAATTTATTTTGTTGTTTTCGTAATGTACATGTTTTGTATCGTTTGAGTCTACGTGCTTTGGCTGCGAGTTTCTGTATTAGTGTATTGATGTATTCTGTAATGTGTGTTGTGATGTTCATGTTTTGTGTGTGTTTTGATTATCTTGAAAATGTTTTTGAGTTGTTTCTTTAATTTGGGTGTTATGTTGTTTTTAGTGTATTGTGTCNAGATTACTAGTTACCAGTACTTTTCGCACAAAAAATGTGAATGTAGTTATGATACCTTGTTTACAATTCACTAAAATGCAATTGGGGTTCCATAATATCACCTTCTCCTCTATAGTTATTGTCTATTCAGGTATTAGGGTTTTCGTGCTAAACGTGTTTTGCAACATTTTGCAATTCTGTCAGTTATACTGAAATTATCTAACAGGGATGGGAGAATTATGATACTCACTGTATTTACATTTTTTTCTTTCACATCATCAAGTACAAGAAAAACACAATGAACAGATTTCAGTTCAATTCACTTGCTCAATACTAAAGTAAACGTTTCAAATAAAGCAAATCATAGAGTTGTTTTAGTAAGCTTCACGAACGACTCTGATTACATGAAACACGAAAGACGTGTTTAATGTAATTAATAATTGGATCGAAATAAGACATATTAAAATCAATTTTTATGGAAATAATAAGTAATAATTTTCAATGTGTTCCTGTGCACTATACTGACGAAAATACTCTTTTTACGTGATCAATACTTGTCCATTACAATACAGCTTAATGTCATTAATACTTCTATTAGTTATATATTTAGGCCTCTTAATTTATTTGGTTTTGGGAAAATAATAAAACAAATACATTACAATAAATTTTTTATAAGATTTATTTTAATTGAACTTTTCTGACTTTCATTTCAGCAAATTCATTAATTACATCTTCATAATTAATATTTTTAACGATATTGTATTTGTATTCTATTGAAATAATAGAAATATTGGATAATCGTTCTTGTCTGCTAGTTGATCTTAAATAATTTTTTATTAAGTTTAACTTGCTAAAACTTCTATTTGGCGAAGCAATAGAAACGGGAAGAGTTAGAAATATTCGAAGAGCGACATTGATATTTGGGTAAGACTCAATTAAACCAAAATAATGAAGAGCCTGTAGAATATTAAGCGGAGATGCAGTTTCTATATTTTGTATAAGAGTCGTTACTTAAAAAATTAAAACTTTCAANTGGTGTAGTTGTTGTCTGTATGCTGTCATGTTTGTTTCGAGTCTTGTGATGGTGTAGTAATTGCGGATGATAAACTCGTTCATTTCTGTTGTCCATTTCATCCGTTGGCGTGGTTTTCCAGCCTTTGTGGTCTGTGGATGCATTGTCGCAGAAACACCAAGGCTAGGTTGATTCCTCACATCTGTTGAGGGCATTGCAGTTGCCATGCTTGGGCCGGCGCTGCTTTCGCCATCGGTAACCAAGGGAGACTGGAACCTATTTTTCGAACGTGAGCCTCTGCCTAAACCACGAACGCGGACCTTGTTAACCCGGGCGACGTCCGAGCCGGTATCATACTTACATCTGGTTACTACCATGATAAATATCTCCACACAATGTGGGTGTGTGGTCACTCTTAGCTTCATTTCTCCCCATAGACCTTACTGGTATGGGTGTCCCTACCAAGAGCTTGTGCTCCAGCCNATAAGGTTGTTGTGTATAATTGTTCGTTTTTGATCAACAACCCTTTGTTCGGTGACAGTGAGGTGAGGATATTGTTGTGTGAATCTATGGTGTAGTTGTTGTCTGTATGCTGTCATGTTTGTTTCGAGTCTTATGATGGTGTACTAAGTACGGATGATAAACTCGTTCATTTCTGTTGTCCATTTCATCCGTTGGCTTGGTTTTCCAGCCTTTGTGGTCTGTGGATGCATTGTCACAGAAACACCAAGGCTAGGTTGATTCCTCACATCTGTTGAGGGCATTGCAGTTGCCATGCTTGGGCCGGCGCTGCTTTCGCTACCGGTAACCAAGGGAGACTGGAACCTATTTTTCGAACGTGAGCCTCTGCCTAAACCACNAAAATCTCAAAAGTCGCTACTTTTGACTGATTTGTCTGAGGTTTCCGCTACCTCACTACGTCCCTCTAAAAGTCGCCACAGTTGGGAACACTGGTGAGTGGACATCTAGGGTCTAAATATGGCGAAATGTAATCTCCAAACCGCGCTATAGAAAGGCGGAAAAATTTAAAATTTAAAAATATAATTTCCTGTGAACAGCAGTTTGGGCCCCCTTCCAAGTGGGCCCTGTGCGGGTGCACTTCTTGCACCTGCCTAGTTACGGCTCTGGCATAAGAATTTAATTATGTCAGAAAAGTCTATATTTTCACGAAAACCTTTTAAGAATATATAAAAGATATTTAGACATGGTTATTAAAGATTCTTAAGTAACAGTGATTGTGTTAATCTATTAAAAATCTGATGTTACGTAGCAAAATATGGCAGTAACATTTCCGACTCGAAAAACGTTTTACGAAAATATGTTCAGTACAAACGTTTCGTACAGATTCATTATAAAATGGGCCTAACATTCTTTAATTAAATGACGATTCACATGCATAATTGAATTAGAACAGACAATTTTGTTTGCTTTTCTGATTTTTCGTTTGTTAATAGAAAAGAAATTTAGTAAAATCAATTAAATTTAATTAATGTCAATTAACGTGATTGTATAGCATCTTCGTTTCAAGCTGTTTCTTTTTATATTAATATTTATTTGTGCAATTATGCAGAAATTCCTGATTGCATCTAGAAAACGTTTTATATTGCTTTTTCAATTTATTAACATGAGAAATGATAAAACCGCTTTATGACTTGACACGAGCCCCGAATAACTTCTTTTTAATTATTGTCTAATTTTATAACTTTAGTAAATAGAAGTGATAATTTAGTTTAGGCAATAATTACATTATAATCCAGTTAGTTACAGTTGTAAATTACAGTTACAAAATAATACACGAACAATGTAAATACAGTGAGTATCATAATTCTCCCACCCATTAGATAATTTCAGTATAACTTGCAGAATTGCAAAATGTTGCAAAACACGTTTATCACGAAACATTTGGATGTAAGGAATAATACATTTGTTGAAAAACGTAATCTTCAGTAATCACAGTAGCCGTGTTTCTCCTTTAAAGCATTTGTAATGAGATTATTTATAGAATTAGTAACATTTCTGCGATCGTGCAATGTTATTTTCTTTCAATTATCCTACTTACGATCTTGTAAATGATGAAGACAGAGCAATATATCTAAATGTCAAAATAAATCTAAACTTTCATTATTTTTTATTGTAAATTTAAGAATTTACTAATTTTGATATATACACGAATAGTAAACTAACACAGAAATTATTTAATATAAAAAAATTAAGGATTGGTAAACAGAAGAGATCTGTTTTGTTCGCAAACAAAAGAAATCTATTGTGATAATAAAAGCTTACCACGCGAATCTTTAACTGTTGTACTAAATTATATTAAAACTAGCAGGTAGGCCCGGCGTTGCTCGGACAAAAGTAACGATAAGGGAGATAAGATTATTACGATCTATTCAACCTCACCCGTTTTCACAGAATACAAGAATTGGGTCCTCCTGTTTCCGGACTGATTAGACAATTTTTAGATGGGTCTAAAAATATGTTCGATTTCCCGCAAAAACGAAAAATCTGCATCTGCGTCTTGCACGTCGCTTTCTCTTAACAATTCCATTGTTACTTAACACTTCCATTGTTGATGGAAGTGTTAAACCTTATCCTGTCTCACTGCCCGGTGGGAAGGGATTTCGAAAAATCCCTTCTTAGTGTGCGTTTTCGTGACGTACCCTAACTGTGTACCAAATTTCAACTTTTAACTGCTAACCGTTTGGGCTCTGCGCTTATAATTATTATTATTATCAATCCGTCTCGATTATATATATACATAACAGTTATAAATCAACTGTACTTAAATTCACTCCTGTAATTCAGTGTTTTCTAACAATAGGTTCATAAAATAATAAATTTCTGCGTTTTTTAAAATTCTGAAAAAAATAGAAAACAAACATTCAAAAACACTGTTAATTATAGATTTTATTTTACGTGTAAGAGTACATCAAGAAAACCTATTTTACACAAAGAGGTTTAATAATACATTATCGTAAAATGAAAAATACATGTTATCAAACAAAGATATTATTTACATTGAATTTTAGTGCAACATCAAGTAAATATTTCATTTTATGTGTACCTTTTGTGTCAGTGATGATAAAAAACATGTGTTGTTATTGGAATCAATTGAAAGATGCGAACAATATATTAATCTTACGTGCTTTCTGTTTACATTATTTTTGTATTACTTTCAGTTTAAATCTGTGCACTGTACAGTACTTACTAATGTATGAATAATTTCAAATGTGTTTTTCTTATGTTCTATTTTTGTAATCACTAGAAATTATTCACATTGATTCACTAAAATTCACGCATCATGTGAATTAATAGAATTTTTATTCCGTCTATTTCATCAGTGTATTTTTTCGAATTTCCTCATTTATTAAAAAAAACGATAATTACTAAAATTCAGTTATGAAATTTGAATACATAAGTATGTCGATTGTTTTATGAATACAATAGAATTTCAATCTTTTTGAACAGCTGTGTTTTAAATAGTGAAATATTTTAAGGTTTCTTTAATATCTTCTCCATTGAATTTAATATTTAACTGCTGTAAAATTAAAATTGTTTTACTGTTTTCTACTTTATTCCAAGCTTAAAAATATATGAATTATGCAAATACTTATTAAAATATTTTAGTCTAAGAGACGTGGAGTGCACTTACTATGGCCGAAGTTGTCTAGGAATAAAATTTTCTGTGACTAATTCTCATTTTCTAGTTTTTCACGTTATGTATCTAAGCGACAACGCGACTAATAATCGATCTGACGAAAGTGATGCCTCCCGGGAGGACTTTGTATGAGAAACTGGCCCCTATTCAGGTATTACAACGTGAAGAAAACCCGGAAAACTGCACGTGGCCAGTCCGTTGGACAGGCGCGAAACCACGACCAACTACCGGTGTTTAGTGGTTTTATCCACTCGGCCATTGGTGGGCCGAAATTTTCACTTACTCAGAAGCATCGCTATATCGGCCATTTTAGATAATTTCCGAAGGACAATTAATATGCTACGTAGACGCATAATCATTATGGAATATGAACGCTGCAAGAGATCCTTATTATGTTTTTCATATACTTGCGCCACCATAAAATGTTTTCTGACAACTCCTGTTTCAATTTAAACTTAGTTCAACGTCACCTTTTATCATTTTGCTATAACTGTATAATTAAATAATAGTCTGAATAGACGTCTACGTAGTGCAATTGTCATATCACAATGAATTTAATATTTCTCCGAGTTTTCCTAAGGCAAATGTATTCCTGAATGAATTAACGCTTTTAAAAAGAGAATCAGTGTCATAATACAAAGAATCATTCAGAAGTGAATCACTAAAAAGTCTTTACAAACATTTGATTGATACTGTTTCTTGATAATTTACATAATTATCGAGAATGAGTGTCAATATTATATTTGATTATGTAAATTTTTAAAAAGTACTATTGAACGGTCGTAATAAAGAGCTGTTCAAATGATTTTCTGTCGCAGTAAATCTGGGCACACACTGTCTCTTTTTATTCATATCCCTTAGTTCGAGTAGGGTCGAGAAAATCGACTCGAGCATTTTAGCCATCTGAAACACAAAAGTAAATAAAAATTATATTTCGTATGAACAAAATGTCTAATTTCTACTATAGGCTAACCTATTATTAAAGAGTGTAGTGGAAAAACTTCTATTTGAACATTAAAGTACGGTACATAAGCTGCAAGTTCCGATAACTATTTTCTTCTAACAGTGAAACGTTAAGTTCAAAATTTAATATTAAACTGTAATTTCTTGTAAATAGAAAATCACGGGAGTGAATTTGAGTCACATAAAAGTTAGTGACTGAATATATATAGGCCTATATATATAAATACAGTTGACCCCCTATAACACTGTTGATAATTTTGTTTTATATGAATTCCATGTTGTACGAGTCATTTAAATTTTTAAATACGTGTGCCGGGATGTAAACGGCTTATGTATTTGTAAAATTCAAGCGACTCGTACAACATGAATTCGTATAAAACGGAATTATCAACATTGTTATAGGGGGGTCGACTTGTATACACAAAAATTAAAGTTGCCTATTTTCAGGGTTTAATTTTCTCCAAATACCTGTAGCAATTCTGAATATCTTCTTCAAGAGACACTTGTTTTCTTGTCTGGGTTGCAAAATTTCAGGTATGTCTATAATTCGGTTGCCGAAATATAAGCAATAAAATCAGAAAAAAAAGCTGCATTTTCTTTATTATTTTGTGTATTCAGCCATGTAGATGCTTTATGACAATAAAATAACATAAAATTAAACGAAATCATCTTGATTGGTATATTGTGGTGAAGTGATAAACTGTGTACATTTCTTGCAAATAAACTGTATATAGTGAATCGAATAAAGGTGTGTTCCCAACAAACCTACATTTGAAACATTTCAATTAATCGGCTACAGAATACGGAAGATGATAAGGTCTTTAACAGAGTTATTAGATAGGTTGTGGCCAACGTTTTCAACGCGAAAACGTGTACGTCGGACGTTCAGCGCCACTTTCCTAAAGGCCTATAAGTTTGGCAATGATGTTTGAAATGTCGAGCATGATTCCAAACACCATTGCCAAACATCTAGGCCTTTAAAAAAGCGGCGCTGAACGTCTGACGTACACGTTTTGGCGTTGAAAACGTCGGACGCAACCTTCCTATTATACTTTTATAGCTTAACTTCGAGCTTACAGATTACAAGCTTCAAATTTTTCTTGGCACAATCGTTCACAACTGACACGTTTTTTGTTTTGATTATATTTTATAAAACGAATTTTATATTTTTAAAAGAAAATTTTATTTTCCAAACCTTCATTGCAAAATTCTCTTTGATGAAGAAGAAACCTCCCACGGAAACTCCAAGAGGCATTTTTCCAAATCGTTTCATAAAATTCAAAATCTGCAAATATTTATAAATATATTTAGAGAATATAAAATATTCAATATCAAAATATACGATAACGAACCTTTAATTTGAATTTCAGTCGAAGATTGGCAGGAGCAATCTTATAAATTCCAATAAAATCGCTGTACAACTGTACAAATGTATAAAAGATATATTTTTATAAAATTACATAATTTTCTAATTATAAGAAAATTACAGTTAAAATAAAATTATAACCATATTTTACAATTAAACATTTTAACCGAATATTCAAGGAAAGGGTATTGTTGATTGATTGATTAATTAACATTTATAATTATTATATGCAAATATATTAGTTATTAAATACGATATTTTCTACAAATAATATGACAATATTTACCATTATTGGAACTTTTGAAGTTAGAAAAGATGATACAATAATTCCTGTTAAGTACACAAACGATGTAATGATTCCCACTATTTTTATCATAGGCTCCAATTCCTCGAATATCATCGAATAGACTATTATACATACAAAATTAGTAAAAAAGATATAAACACAGGGAAAGAAATTGCTGAGTTTTTCGTTAAATTGTTGTATTACTTCCCATACTTCTGTATGTTTGTTAATTATTGCATTTATAGTTTTTCTTAAGTTTGGAAATTGTTTGTTAACTTTGTTAAATTCATCATGTATGTTAATTAAGCGGTAATAATAAATATACCAGGCTGATGAACAAAATGTAATAATGTATTGAATTTGACTCGTACTGTAAAAAAACGTAAATTTTAAAGTTAATTATACATAAGACCGTAGCAGAATGAGAATTTGTTTTGCTATGTATAACGGGATAGAATAAAATATCTAAGGGTATGGACATTATTATGAAAAGCAACGCAAAACAATAGAAACTCGCGAAGATGAACCTTTCTATCGCTTTTCATTTGTCAAATTCTGCGGGAAATGAGCTAATATTGGTCTTCAAACGAAACTGTGTTCTTTTAATAAAACTAAACTGTAAACTGACATAAAAAGAATAGGATGTCAATAATTTGTAGAGTGTTGAAAGACATGCAATTGGTCTGTATTTTGTGGGGCCTGTGGTTTTGTTGTTTTTAGGTTTCATGTAGGTGATGCCCCGAGTAGCAAATTTTGGCATGTCTTATGGATTGATGGTGATGTGTGTTATATGATTAGCTAGTTCCTGGTGCAGTGATGTAAACTTTTTGTACCAGAAATTGTGAATGTTGTTTACACCAGTGTCTTCCAGTTGTGTGTTATGTTAACAGCGTAGCGGATGTCGTGTACGTTTATTTCAGCACAGGGCATAGTTGGTATGTTATGCAAGTTTCTGTTCTCCTCCTCAATCCAGCCTGCATCAGCATTGTGTGTAACAGCATTGGACCAAAGAGAAGACCAATAAGTTGTGAGTTCTTTCTCTGTTGGTGTGCCACTGTGCTGTGTATCAGAATTTGTTTTGGTACTGATTTGTCTGTAGAAATGTTTTTTATTGTTTGTGAATAATTTATTTTGTTGTTTTCGTAGTGTACATGTTTTGTATCGTTTGAGTCTACGTGCTTTGGCTGCGAGTTTTTGTTTTAGTGTATCGATGTATTCTGTAATGTGTGTGTTGTGATGTTCGTGTTTTGTGTGTGTTTTGATTTTCTTGAAAATGTTTTTGAGTTGTTTCTTTAATTTGGGTGTTATGTTGTTTTTAGTGTATTGTGTCAGCCTGCCTAATTGCTGTCTAATGTCATTTATTTGTGTTTCTATTCTTCTCTGCCAGGCAGGCTTGTGATAGAATTGTGTTTTGTGTGTGTCTGTCTGTGAGTGTATTTTCAGTCCATGGTGTGTTACTACTGTGACTGCCCCAGCATAAACTAATGTATGAATGTCTGAGAGTGTAGAAATTGAATGAATGTAGTTTGGTAGTAAGTGAGTGTTTACATAATCTAGTGTTTTTCCTACTGCCTTTGACGTGTTGATTTTTGGTATTCGTGGTCTTTGTGTGGGATCTGTACCAGTATATTTAATGAGTGTTTCCTGAAATATAAGTGAGAGCGTATTAACTAATTCTATGTCTACGTTATCAGTGATGGATGGGGAAGTGCCTGCAGTATCATTAGTGGTACTTGTTGTGTGTGTGCTGTAATCAGTGCTTGTTGCTGGATTATCCTGACAGGTTACGTGATCTTCATTAATGTTAAATGTTTCTGTCTGTTGATGTATTTGATCAGCAACCTGTTGTTTGATAAGTTCAAGTGTTGTTTGTGGGATAAGGTTGTTGTGTATAATTGTTCGTTTTTGATCAACAACCCTTTGTTCGGTGACAGTGAGGTGAGGATATTGTTGTGTGAATATGTGGTGTAGTTGTTGTCTGTATGCTGTCATGTTTGTTTCGAGTCTTGTGATGGTGTAGTAAGTGCGGATGATAAACTCGTTCATTTCTGTTGTCCATTTCATCCGTTGGCGTGGTTTTCCAGCCTTTGTGGTCTGTGGATGCATTGCCACAGAAACACCAAGGCTAGGTTGATTCCTCACATCTGTTGAGGGCATTGCAGTAGCCATGCTTGGGCCGGCGCTGCTTTCGCCACCGGTAACCAAGGGAGACTGGAGCCTATTTTTCGAACGTGAGCCTCTGCCTAACCCACGAACGCGGACCTTGTTAACCCGGGCGACGTCCGAGCCGGTATCATACTTAGATCTGGTTACTACCATAATGATTATCTCCACAGAATGTGGGTGTGTGGTCACTCTTAGCTTCATTTCTCCCCATAGACCTTACTGGCATGGGTGTCCCTACCAGGAGCTTGTGCTCCAGCCTGCATTGCCCTATGGTTCAGTAAAATTACTGGGCTCTCCCACCACGACCAGATGGTGACCACGGGAGAGTTATTATTATTATTATTATCAACCCGTCTCGATTATATATATAGATATAGATATAGATATATATTGGGACATTTCGATCTACGAATAAATGAATACAATACGATTATATTATATTTTCACTATAAACTGTTCGAAACTCATTGTTCTTATATGTACAATAGAAACTACAAGTTACTCAGATTTTCGATTTCACTCCGAATAAAACTAATTCTATATTAAATTAATTTTATAATTTGTTATTTTAAGTAAAAAAATTAAACGAATAATTAATCTTAATAAAATTGATTATTCAATAGCTTTCATTAATATACGCAAATATATTAATTATCAAATATTATATTCTCAGAAACTTTACCATTGTTGGAATTCTTGAAAGTAGAAACGATGAAGCAACACATCCTAATAAGAAGATACACGATACAATGCTTCCCACTATTCTTCGAATAATGTCTAATTCCAAGAATAGTAATGAATAGACTGCAATGCAGGTAAAGTTTGTAAAAAATGCGTAAACACAGGGCAAGAAATTGCTAAGTTGTTCGTTAAATTGTTGTATAAGTTCCCATATTTCTGTATGTTTGTCAATAATCTCGTTAATTGTGTCTCTTAAATTTGGAAATCGCTTGTTAAGTTTATTTATTTCATTTTGTATATTGATTAAGCGGTAATAACAAATATACCATGCTGACGCACAGAATGTTATAACAAAATGCATTTGACCCGTGCAGTATAAAACATAAACTCTAAAGTAACTTACGCATAAGACGGCAGAGAGATGCGAATCTCTTTGGCTCTTTATAGCAGGAAACAAGAAAAACTCTAAAGGCATGTAAACCATTATCACTACAGACACAAAACCAAAGAAATTTCCAAACATGAATCTTTCTATCGCTGACCATTTTTCCAGTTCTTCAGGAAATGCGCTGACGTTGCTTTTCAAACAAAACTGTGATCTTCTAATAAAACTAAACTGCACACTGATATAAAATGAATAGAACAAAACCAAAAATTCCAAAATAAAATTATAATTGGCAAGCTTTCTCCAACCGGCACAGAAAATTTCGTCATTCAACAATTCGAAACATATTCTGAATGTCCAGCTCCATAGAAAGAACTCCACAAACAATTGGTAATACGAATATAATTTTTCGTGATAGAGATTAATTTTTCTCTTGTAACAATCGCATAATTTTAATGGTTGCATGCCAAATATTCTTCCAACAGAGATTAACGGATGCAAATAGCACACAGGATGACGAGGCAGACTTTCGTTCATCGTGAATATTAGTTATGACGAATGCATTATAAAATTTCAATCTTGAAATAATCTAAAGAAACGAGAAGTCGAACTTATCCAAGTAATCTTTGAGCAAGGAAAATGAAGTAAAATAATTATAAATTACATTCGATTTATCTGGAGAACATCTTTTAATTATCTTTCTATACTATATAACTGGATTTCTGCATATAAATTTTCTATCTTTTAATTAAATGAATATTTATATGCAAAACTATATTAAAATAGACATTATTGTGTTTGCTTTTCTAATTTTCCTTCGTTAATTAAAATCTAGTTTGATAGAATTAATTACCTTTACTTAATTATTGCCAGATGTATAATAGTATAAAGGTAATCATATTTAATTATAATCGGAATTTTTCAGCAGCAATTAAATAATTCATGTGAAATTATGATGTTGTAAAGTAGATTTATACATGCACCATAATAATTTAGTAAATAATTTAATTTAAAATGGAATTGGTTGCCGTTTAGAAAAGAAGGTTCGCCTGCACAATATCAATTGAATTAATTCAGTATATTGCTTCAAGTAGCAATCTGCTGTGAGAAATCTAATTCATGTTTGTTTTCCAATTACGAAAGCAAACATGATATGTTAGAAATAGTTACTTTCTGTTAAAGTAATTAGTTAATATACACACTGTTTTGATATTGATTTCGAATAGGCGAGCTTTTACACTTAGTTATATTTGGCAGAACAATCAATTTTCTGTTCGTCATTTCTTTTCTTTCACATCATTCACTACAAGAAAAACACAATGAACAGATTTCAGTTCAATTCACTTGCTCAATACGGAAATAAACGTTCCCAATAAAACGAATCATAGAGTATTTTAGTGAGTTTCACGAAAGACTCTTATAAGATATCACCGAAGTTGCGTGTTTAATGTAATCAATACTTGGGTCAAAATGAGACGTATTAGAATCATTTTTATGGGAATAATAAGTAATAATTTTCACTGTGTTCCTCTACACTAT